TATTTTTGAACGATTAGAATGGTTGAGAGTTCAACCAGTGTTCCAATAACGACAAAATGCTGCTCAAAAATGAACTCTTGTGAGTTACTTTACATTTAAATTTGATATTTGGGGTAGAATCTGACGTATGCAAATAAAGTCGTACTTTTTATTCCGTTATATTTTAACTCGTCGTGGGAGAAGCTATGCAAAAAATCCCTAAACGTTTTTAATCAAATATAACATTTAATAAATCATTTTATATATAACGGAAGAAGAATGTAATAATGCCGTTTACACCTTTTTCATTCCCAGTTTCGCACACAGAGTGTGTCGTACAAGATAAAAAGTGCTCCACGTAAAATTATAATTTTTCTAACGCATGCAGTGTGATTCCTTTAATTTCATTGCAATTTCCAAGCATCATCAATTATAAGTTTCATTGCCTACATGCAGTTGTGTCAATTTAATTAGCTCTACAAATACGTACTACAAGCAGAGTATTTACGAGTAATCAAAGATAGGTAAACGTGTTTTTGTTAAACGATATTGGTAAAAATATTTAGCTTTGAGGCAGCAAACCACTCATGAGTATTTAGGTGTTCGACTCTATTATAAGCGCGTGTTTTTACCGCTGCTCTATTCCAAAGGAAAATCAATTGAGGGTAATCTCTCGTTTTGACGTTATCGGGTAACACCATATCCGTAGTAAGCCCCTGATGAATGCTATAATCAGAAATTGTTATTTATAAGGATCAAAATAAGGAGATTATTTCTTGCATTACAAAGCAAGGAGGTTTTTAGCTTTATATTATATGGAATAAGTCTTTGATTGAATGAGAAAATGTATCAAAGGTTAAAACACCGTTTTTCAGGATAAGCGCTAAACGTAACGTTACCTTAAATTATTAAAGTCAAAATGAAAACTTTATTATTAACGTTTTCAAGCTATACTTTTGGGAATTCTACTCCCAATGGTTTTTTTTCGAATCTATATCCGTTCTTGTTTCTGTATTCTAAATTTACATACGACCCTTTCCACTGCACCACGTCAAGAACGTGATAATACGTTTGGGAAACTGGTTTCCGAATTTGTGCCTTACCTTACAACTATTACAAAATGCCATCAAAAACTATTTGTAGTTTAATTGATTTAATTTACCTAATTATATGCAACCTGGTGCAGTAAGCATTGGCAATTGACATGCTTCAATTCTCCCTTTTTTGCGTGTGGTAGAAGTTGGAGCCACTGGTTTCGTATAATACAATCTACAAATTCAAACGAAAGTATTCTTTTAAGGACCTCCAAATGTGTAGGGAATAAATTAAATATAAAGTTTAAACTCGGTTGGGTTTTTATTCGAAATTGCCATCTTAGAATGAATTTTATTAGAAAATTTACATAATTTCTTAGTCGTGCTGTTACTAGTAAAAGAAAACTACTCGGAAATCCTTACTGCAGTTATAAATTTTGTGAACTTTTGAGTTTGTTTGAGTTTAAGCGATTAATGGAACAAATAAACATGATCATTTATTTACTTGAGGCTGTTGTGAAAGTTTTAAAGTGAAAATAAAAGAGAAACCGGAATTGATTTCTTAAGGAAGGAATGATACATCACGAAACCACATCCCTTTTAATATATCTGATTTTGTTTGCCTTTTAAAGTGATTCACTTTTATTATTTTGAATTAAGCAAAGCTTTCTTAAGTGACAAAATACTTTATTTTGTTCAAATTGGGATATATAGAATTAAACACTCCCGAGTTCTGAAGGCGAATTCTCTTATATGGCAAATTAATTCGTTAACATTGAAATTTGCAAACATGTTGTAAATTGTTGCTGGAGACAAGGAGGGAGTAAAGTAAAATGAATTAATGAAAAGAATCTTAACTTGTTTCTCGAAACGTCTTCAAAAGTTAGTATGACTTTTGTACTTATAGTTGATATTTGATCTTTAATTGACGTTTCTTCATCTCGCTTGAATATATCCGGATAATTGGCATCTAGAAAGTAGTTATGGCAGGCTATTTTTTCCAAATCCTGCAGATGCAAAGGCACCGTTCTTTTAAGCCCCACGGTTCCGCGTTATTATTCAACGGGTATGAATATAAAGGGGTTGGTTCTCTCTTCTTTGGAATAAAATAAAAATACTTGCAATTCAAACGGTTTTAAATCTTTAAGAAAACAACGAATTTTCTCTAATAAATTTTAAACTTCAATCGATCATAAGTTACGACAATTTTTCGTATAGAGATACAATCCTTAATTTTTACATAAATAAAATGACTACCTCATATAAAAAAATGTCCTTTTGCAGATGACAATGTTGACATGAGACAAACTCGGTCGGCCCTACTTACATCGACAATATTTCGGGAAAATCAAAGAATGGAGCTGTCGATTGGAACTTCCGTTCTACGAAATTCTTCGGTAAATTTTCCGGTGCAGCAAATGTTCTCTCGTAATTTTTTGCAAAGTTAATCTTTGTGTTTATGGGTTACAGGCAAGAAACATTTTATTAACACGACGGTTGGTTGTTAATAAACTTTATAAGAGTTCTAAATGTTTCGTATATTACCACAACAGGAGAAATCTTCACTAAGTAGTAACAATTTTACACCCCGCTTTTTATTACTGTTTTTTCAACCACAGGCGGTTATAGCAAAATCTTACTATGGACTGGTCGCATCTGTGTCTCAAACGCGTATCCAAATTCTACCCCAATACCTCTTTACTTTAATAATTACTGATACCTACTGGTTGATTATCACCTTTTTCAAGATGACAGTTTTTTTTAGAGCCAATCATAGTTGCGATACCCCTCTGTGACCAAATGCTTAATTCGCAAGTTTAATCATGTAGTCCTAATTAAGATAGCTGAATCTAATCCAAACCATACAATTTATTGGAAAATTGGACCCTCTAATTTTTTTTGAATTATTGTGCAAGGAAAGGCAAAAGCTATAGATACGGTGCGGCATCAGTGCTGAATCAGTAGAAGACTGGCACAGTAAGTTTCCCTTCGAACATTCGCACCCAACCCGACAGATCCGCTACATATCTCAAGAGTGAGTTTAGTATTTCAAGAGAGAAAACACATGAAGGTGATCTTCGAAACTTTCCTGAAATTTTAACCAAAGGTACTTCTATTGAAAAGAAACTGGAAACTGCCACTTTTGTAAGATTGCTCTCCAAATTTCTTAATCTGAGAGCAATCTTACAAAAGTGGCAGTTTCCAGTTTCTTTTCAATAGAAGTACCTTTGGTTAAAATTTCAGGAAAGTTTCGAAGATCACCTTCATGTGTTTTCTCTCTTGAAATACTAAACTCACTCTTGAGATATGTAGCGGATCTGTCGGGTTGGGTGCGAATGTTCGAAGGGAAACTTACTGTGCCAGTCTTCTACTGATTCAATACTGATGCCGCACCGCACAAATTTCTTAATCTTTCTTTTCCAAAACTTAAAGAAAAATGATTACCGCATATATATGAATTGAAATTAAATTCCTAACTGGATTATAGTTTAATTTTAGGTACATATAAAAATTGTAAACGTTGCTCACCGGCAGTGGAAATGTATAAAAACTCGCACCATACATACATTAATATAATAATCGAGGTACTAATTGAATGCCACTTCACTAACCTAATGAAAAAGCGGGTATTAATAAATTTCAAACCAATGAAGCTAAATTAATTCATTGAATATAATAGGGCTTTATAGCTTTTTTGCCTTATTTGTTTTAATTTTCTACGGGATATTACAAAAGCATATTATTTCAAAGGCAATCCTTTAGACTAGCTGTTTCGTATTACAGAATTCATTTCAAGCTTGAAAATTAATTCAACATCTATTATTACTTAAATTTATTGTATACCGTATTCAAATGAATTTTGATATTTGTGGTTATGATTTATGTTCGAAGCAGAGAATAAAAATTCTTTAAAATCATATACTGTGCGTATGAGTTTAATTCATTAATTGCAATTACAAATGATCACGTTTTATCGTATTGTACTTAGTGTTGCATTTCCGATATGGCTATTATAAATTTAGAACTTACTAAATCCATTAATATAACAAAGGTTTGTGTGAAGGGGTATTACTTGCTTAATACGTTTTTAATCGCAGATCGCATTACTACCAATTTATCATTCCAGTTCTATTGGGCAAACCTTTTACATTTTGTATTTATTTTTAAATTATCCCACACCTTGATTTAGAAGATAATTACGCATTATTTGTTGTAATGACAAAATCGATTAAAACTATTCACTGTCAAGATAATAACTCAAAAGTACTTCTACACATAAATTGACTTTTTATACATTTCCGTTTACATCGGAAGTGAATACAATTTTATTTAACGACACCAAGTATTTTTTAAATAGATTTTTCACTATTTTTTCGTTCTCGACCTACACCTTAGAAAGTTTTAGTTTAGGGTCAAATATGAAAACGGTGCCACATTTTAATACCAGAAATAATTTGCGGCCAGTAGCCTTCAAATTACTGATAAATAATAGTTTATATATTATTATAAGCATCCCCTAGAATATTTTTAATTAAAAAGGGGTCGTGAAATTCGGTTTTTCTGAAATTTGGTGCAATCATAACTGTGATAATTAATTTTGAAGATGTAAGATCTTTATGTCTCCATCACAAAACTCTGCGTATGCAAAAATTGTCATATTTATGATTTAGTATATTTTCATTTTGGACATTAATCGTAAAATAAATTGAAAAAAAAACTACACAAAATAAATGCAATCTTTTACGAAAAGTACAGACCTACTGCACAAGGGAATTTCCAAACAGCACCGAGTTTTCCCCACTTTCAAGTTATCTAATTTCTGTAACGACGAAAGTAATACCATAATAAATCTTGGCCGCTTTAATTGGAGAGTATAATTTATGTGACTTAATCGATTTACTTTCCCACCTAATTAATCTTTTTCGCATTATGTGAAAGTATGAAAATTGAAACTGCAATGATTAATTTCGTTCTCCTTCATTACAGGTAGATACCCCAGATAGCGTTCTTCAAAGTGGTTTAGGGCTAACAGATTTAGGTCAACACGCCGTCCTACGTTCAATGGTTGATCCCCGGGATTATGATCGGCTTAAGTATTTTCAAATGAACGGTGGTGCTCCGAACACGTTCGAAGAGACAATCCATAGGGTAATTATACAATTACATTTATTTATTTTGTGAGCAGGAAAGACATCGAGAGAGAACAATTTACCATTATAAATTACGACGCCTATTTTTATTACAATAATTAAGGAGAGTTGGGCATTCGTCATTATGAAATATCTTTGTGCCAAAGCTAGTCCCGTTTTATTAGTATCAAAGTTAACTTTGAGGAATGGTTTTAATTATTAAATTGAGGTAAGTTATTACCTTGCGTTGGGCAGTTTATAACTACAAATTTTAGTATTTCAGTTATTACCATTTCTAATTTAATTTTCCCCATAAAAGGATTTTATTCGTTTTTCCCCTTTTTTATGTTTGATGTTAGTAGCATTGACATGCGTTGGTCTCTCTCCAACGTTTTATCCACATTACACATGCACAATAAAATTTTTATCAAAACAATTCTTTTACGAATTTACGATTGTAAAAAGTCAAATGTGATCTTCGACAATGCATTATTAAACATACTTCGTAACTTGAATAATGGAATAATTTTTGACCACACAATTACAGCTTTTATTTATCGTATGCGGGGTGTAAACCAAACTATAGGTGCACCCCTGTAACTTTGATAGAATTAGCGATATTGGAGTAATGGTATGAGAGAAAACGAGTACCTACCTAAACAGTATTTTCCTGTCACTTCCGGTGTCTGTAGGAGAAATATCATTGTCTAAACTTACTCTCCTCGGATCGACCGAGAATATCTCAAGGGCAGTACTTGTCCTTATCCCGCATGTGTTTCCTGTTTTTTTCGTAGGTGTCCAGTTTCCTACCAGGTTGTTCTAGTGCTCTCGCAGGCTGCTGTAGGTCTTTATCGCCGCGGTGGTGATGTATTCCGTAATGGTGGGCATGTCCAGATAACGAGGGATATATCCCGGCACATATCCCGGATCGTTTACAGCCATCCTCAGCGCCTTGTTTTGGACGATCTGAACTCTGATGATGATGTGCGACGCTGCGGCGCAGTTCCACACTGAAGCCCAGTAGGTCAACGTTGGTCGGACGATGGACATGTACAGCCGTACCTTCTTTTCGATGCTTAGTACGCTCTTCCTGTTAAGAAGGGGGTACAGCACCGGTATTGTCGTGCGGCCTTTTGGGTACAATATCTGAGGTACGCCCTCCACGTCAGACGTGGTCCAGCACGACACCAAGGTGTTTCGTTTCGGTCCTCCCGTGGATTCGTGTCTCCTTTTCGTGAAACAACGTCCTTCATCTGATCTACCCTTTTTCCAGGTCGTCCAGTGCTGTCTGGAGTCTCCTAGAGGGTTGCTCCTGTCTTCCATGGAGGGCGTTGTCGTCCGCGTCGAGAGCCAGAGTGGTGTCCCGTGTCTTCGACATGTCCCGAACGTACATAGAGAACAGCAACGGCGAGGGCAGGGACCCCTGGGGTACTCCAGATGTTGCTTTGCGCTCACGGGACCTGCATCCCTCGAAACGGACGCGAAAGCGTGTGTCTTTGATCCAACCATTTGTACCGTAGCTAAGGGGAGACCGCATTTGGAGCGTTTTTCATAGCAGTCCGTTGAGCCAGCCTTATCTTATCTTATCGACCGCTTTAGTGATGTCCGAATAGACTGATTCGGTGGACTGGTTGTGGTTGAAGCCTTCTGTCGCGTGTTCTATCGCCCTTGGCACTTGGTGGACCGTCGAATGATCCTTCCGGAATCCGAATTGCGGGAGGTCTGCGGGAACGGTATAGACTGGCCCGGTTTCTGTAATATAATTACGTCGGCACGTTTCCACCAAGATCGAAAGTGCCGCAATTTGAGCATCGCGTTCAGAATAAAAGCGAACGACTTCGTGGCGTCCCGTAAGGCAGCCTGCACGATTTTTCCAAACTCGGCGGCCGCCGCTTCGAGATTCTCGACGTCTTCGATTACCGGTTGATCGTCCGTCATCGTTTCCTCTGGCCTCTGTGTTATCGAGTACGTTTCTATTTCGGCTGCCGGTTTCGCTAGGATGTTCCGGTACCGCCTTATTGTTTTCGCGCTTGCTTCGCCTCGAAACGGTTCTTTCACCGGAACCAGCGTCGCCTACGACTACGAGGGAGTTGAGTGGGAAGGTTGACGGCTTCTCCTTCTTCTGCCTGTTGCTCTTCTTAGATTGGAAGCTATCTTGCTCTTCAGCCACCTGCGGGACTAAATTGGGCTCGCTCCCCTCTTTGGAGCGGCGAAGGGGGATTTTTCATCGGCTCGGGTGATAGCGGGATGATTTGGATCGAGTCTTGCTCGATGGCTTCTTGGGCGGCTGCTTTCAGTAGCAAGACATAAGATTATATGTCCGCCACGGGAAGTGCTTGAAACGCCTCCATGGCAGCAGCCGGAGAATATAGCCACAGACTATTAAAAAATTGGAAATAATAAACGCTGCAACTGCCATCAAATCTGTGTGAAAGGGAACTTTTGACCATTTGTTCAAACGCATCTGCGATTCGATCCCATTTTGCCGACTTGAATGCGTTTTCCACGTGTAATGTCGTCAGCAGGAAGAAGTCTTTTTGTTTCCACGATCCTGAATGTGCCAACTGCTTCATCTCTAAACACCTCCTTCAGAACATCCAGAGTAGATCTCCCCTTCCTCAAACCGAACTGTTTTTCCTCTAGGTCTTGCAAAATTCTTGCCCTTATCTTGCTCATACAATTTTCATGCAGCATCCAGCAGGCAGATAGGTCTGAACTTCCGTGGTCTTACTTTTCGATCGCCTTTTGGTATGAGGATCAAGATCGGTTTCTTCCAAACTTTTGGCAACTCACATTTGGTTAGCAGACCATTAAAAATTTCCAGCATTTTCCCTCCATCGGCTTTGACTGCCAATTTAATCACTTCTACTGGAATACCATCCGGCCCGGATGCCTTTTTATCTCGTAATTTATCCACGGCTGCCTCAAGTTCTCTTTTATTAAACGGTTTCATACCTGCTATATCGGCATCTCGTTCCAGATGATTTCTTGCACTTTTGGAAACATTCAAGATACTGTTTGTATAATGTAGCGATGTGTTTTTAAGAAATACGAAATTTAAAGGTAGCAGTACATTCCTCTACTGAAGTCCAGAATTGAATCTCCAAGAGAGATTATGGCCGATATACGTGTCTTGGTTGATTTCCGTTATTTGATACTGTAGCGATCCTTCTAGAACATTCTCGAGGTGCCAGTAATAGAGATAATATTGTAGACATCTTTATGAAATTTGGTATGCATCACATCAAGATGCATTTTCAGATGTGCAAAAGTTTTTATTTTGTTTTTTTAAATGAACGATTTTTATTTTTTTAAACGAAAACTCTGCGTTAGATAAAGAAAAACCAGGAGATCAAATTTACTCAAAAATAATGGGAATTTAAAAAATAATTTTTTTTAAAAGAAAGCAGTGGCGTAGTATTTTTTTCTCCTACAATATTCAATGCAAAAGCCGTCCGAACGTCACTGGTAAAGAAAGTAAAAACTTTTGCACATCAGCAAATGCAGCAAATTTCATAAAGATGTCTACAATATTATCTTTGTTATTATTACTGATTTTTTTAAACTTTACTACTCTGTATCTCAAAAATTAAAACGTTTAGGCCATACGTTCATGGAAAGTTTTTTTTCTTAAAATGTGTCCAAGAATCACCCCCTTAAACAGTAGCATATCTGTAAGGAACACCTTGTATAAATTTATATAAAAATAATAAATCAATTATATTTAAAAAAGAATTTAAAATTCATAATAAATAATAAACTTCTTCCATGGGGATCGTATAGTTGGAAGCGTTCCTATTACACTGGCCGCGTTGCCACGTTGTATGGCAATACTTATCCTTGGTCGTAAGTAAGTGGTAGCTCCGGGTTCCCCAGTAATATTGGTAATGCGTTTTCCCCGGTATTCCACAAAATTACGAGCTTCTCTACACGAAGGACCTAATGTCTCTACTGCGAAAGGTATAAAAATATGGTTCTGTTCCTATTAATTGAACTGGATTTCCTTATTTTTATATAAATAAATCACCCAATTAAATTTACGTTACAATACATATGGTCCTAATGACGTGAATAATTGTATTACGCCTCAAATTCGAGTCTGCATAGTTTTTGAGCAGAAAATCCTGGTAGAAATACACCTCTAGAAATTACCCAAAATAAAATGAACGATCAACAATTAATGCGGTTTGACTTTATTCTGTAGGTAAATTTGTGTACGTATGGCTACAAAAAGCTGTCAGTGAGAATTTGACTTAATGCTACTAAATAACCTCGTAAATAACTAGAAAGAAGACAATAATAAGAATAACCTTTTTACTGTAATTTCTACTTTAATCCATATCCGATGAAACTCAAAGGAAATAGCATCAGGATTGCCTATTCTAAGTATTACCTATCTTTCCAGCAGCGTGTACATTTTCCAATGTTATGAAGTTTACCCTGAATAACTTTTCTAGTACACGCTAGGGTCAACCCAAGTCAATGCATTGCACCTTATACTAAATTATGAAATGTTTCTATTGCTGCTTTCCAAATTAATACTGTATGCAATTTTGCAAACGGGGTGCATAAATTTGCGAGGGTACGTGTAGATACGGTAATGCAAAGGAAAGTGTTATGAAAATGACCGAAGAGTGTGCTGTTCGATATTCAAAATGTAATTCGATTCAGTACCAGGCGGCGGGTGGTCGTCAAAATCCGTAGATGTTCCCTGCTATTAGTGTCACAACTGGCAAGTTAATTGCCATAATAAGGGGTTGCATCCAATTACCTGTCAGCTTGTTCCATCAATTGTTAGTTACAATATCAGTTATAGCAGTTCCCGAAACCGTTCTTAGTCTCTCTAGATTAAACGGAAGCTTGTTATAAAGAATATTTTTCCAACTAGGAATAATAAAGTTACTTTTATTGCACTTTTGAGAATATTTCTGCATTCCGTAGTTCTGAATTAGTTTTCAGATCTCCCCTCATGAATGTAATGCGTCACAAAATTTATTATATGAGGTTACCTTATTTTTAAAGCACTTAAAATTCCCTGAACGCACATATTCTATCACAACTGACCATAAGGTTTATCTCTTTTACGAATAAGGCACGCGATGTTTGGTTTTCTGACTTGCTGTTTCTCTTCTATGGATCACAGGGGGCTACAATAGCCTCTATATCAAAATGTCACTGCAATCCGGGCTTAGTTTTTATGGCTGAAAAGTTTGTTATAGTCGGAAGGTGATGGGATTCCCGAATTTTATTGTAGCCTTTACGACTCCACGAAATGGACATTCGGTGATGCGGCCGTTATCTACTTAAAATCGACATTTATAATAAATATTTGCGACTGTTGCCCCTCAAATAAGTATATGTAGAAATAAAAAGAGAACTGCTGTAGTTTTAACATCCATTTTAAATTAGTTACGAAATGATTATTCCCTTGAGTAATGATTTCGTAACTAATTTAAAATGGATGTTAATAGGAATGTAGATAGGTACCAATCGTATAGCTCTCTTGCGATATTGGATCAATACTACTAGGAATCATAATCATATTAGTTACATTACGGAAATTTTCATTACTTTAACTTTCTTAATTTTTACAAAATAAGGTTCTTTTTACAAATTGGCGTTTCGACTTTGTTTTTCTCTGAAATGTTCTTATGGAGTCAGTGGTTTTCTTTGTATCAGTGGAAAATTTGTAATTTTGGCTACCCAGAGGTATAATTTGTTTAGGGGGTGCCATTTGAAATTTTTAAAAAGTATGACATTTGGCGGTTAATCAAAAGTTTAATTTTAATTAATTAATTTAGTACTTACCTAAAAAAATTATGTGATTGTGGAAGAGGCCTTAACCTTTTACAGTAAAGGAATTATGATCCGAGGGGTCTTAGATACTACACCCTGTACACACACATCTTCATATAGATCTGGGCATTCCTAGAAAGATCTGGCAGCTTTTTCGCATTTCCAAATAAGTATGTAGATTTACAGATTAGGTCTGTAAATTAATAAAAAATTAACTTGTGACTCTTCTCTACGACGAAGGAGGGCGTTTTTCCAGAAGTGTCTACGCCAATTCTTATGGCGCTTTCTAGGACCACTTCCAAACCAAGAAGTTTCCTGGTGCTTTGCACTCTGAGATTTTTATAACATACCAGACGATTTTCAGAGCCTTTCTAGGAAATGTTGCTGCTTTTTTAGAGCTCTTCTGGTCCTCTTTTCTCGGGTACTTTGAAAACGTTTCCAGGGTTTTATGTATTATTTCGCGAGCCTCCTATACCTCACCCAAGCTTTTTCTGGGCTGATACAGTTTTTTGAATGTTTGGGATTTAGTTAAACGTTTCTGGAAAAAGTGAAATAATCGAATCGATGTAAAATATTTTCAAATATTTGCCTGCAAGTTCGTTATTTGAAACTCCTATTTTTTTTATTGCATTTCATTCTACGTGAACTTTCACTTCTTTTTAACGGACTTAAACCAAATTAGGACGTTTGCGATTCCCCATGCAAGCCTGTATAAATTCCAAATTTCATCAAAATCGGCTCAGGCGGGTTTGAGTTATCGTGTTCACAAAAAATGTGTGGTGTGAGGGCGTGTATGTATGTGGTTCGTTTTTTCTGAACACGATAACTCAAAAAATTTTTGGGGATCAACTTCCCAAAAAAAACATTTTGGGTCCCTGCTTATTTGGACGTAACTAATCACACTTGCGTGAATTCCGTCCGTTCGTCTGAGGATTTGACCTCTTAGTCCTCGGACCTCATGCTTTGATTTTGAGGTGTGAACACGTAGGGTCCCAACGACACAACTGTGTTTTTAATTACAATATCTTAAAGACTAACTGCAGATACTTTGTTAGAAATGAATCCAGTAGGTTCAAAACTAAGTTTCGTATTTATGGATCTATTTTTATGAAATTGGATCTTTATGATAAAAGCAATTAAACACGAATTCGTCACAACAAATGGACATTATGGAACAGACCCACCTATCGGTACTCGGTAGCGCCCATCTGAAAAATACGCTTCAGCCAATCACTAGTGCCACGGTTTTAAGACTTGTTTTTGTAATATTTGCAAAATTAGTTCATAACGAGAGTATCACCGTACATATTAAGCACAAAAGTACTGAGTTTCGTCTCAATCTTATAATAAAATTAATTAGTTGTGTTTATTTACAGTTAAAATTGCAAGAAGCTTTAAAGAAACGGGAAAAGATAACAAAAGAACATGAAGAGGTGAGTGATTATATTGATGTAGTGAGTGTTTTTTTTATTGTTTTGTTACGTGCGATGGGGTTCATTTGTTTTTTAAGCACGTTCAATGTAAATAGTAGCTTAAATGGATTTCGGTACTTCTATTTAACTTTTTTTATTTCATTTCTAATACAAAGGAAAGTTTCATGTACTACGACGAGCAATACTTGTTGACTTATATTTTCTTTATAACGTAATATTGATTTGTGTTAACCTTACAACTTAACAAACGTTGAAACCTTGTTTATTTAGCTGTACTAATTGTTTTACGCTTTCGTATATCGCAGTTTTATTTTGCTAAGATTGAAAAATGTGGTTTGACGATTGTTGCATGTGCAATGGTAGATATTGCATACAACAAAGTTTCTTGGTTCATCGATTTGGATCTTTCGAAGTGCTATCAACAAACTTCGTTACGTACATGTTTATTTAATAAATAGGTAATACAGTTTCAGCATAAAATCCATCACTTTAAACTCTTGTGGCACCTGATTAAATAGCCGGCAATTAAAAAATGCGCAAAGTTTCACTCACATTCATCCTCTGCTAGAGCTGAAAAATGTTTATTGCACCGTGATTTTTATGGACGTTTGTCCTAATTGAAAGAGGTGCGCTTTTACAGTTTTAAAATTATGTTGATGTTTAATCAATATCCCATCGTAATGGGTTGCAAATTGCATTGGACACCAAAAAATTACACTTGTTTATACGTCAGAATTTCATTTTATAATCATCGTCACTCTCTATTTAATTTCGAAAAACAATCTTTGTCCACATTCAGTATGGAAAAGGGTATTTGAAAGGGCTTGTGTACAATTCCTCGTAAACGCACCTTGTCGCTTTTTAATTCGGTATCGTCTCGAGTTGCACATTCATGTAGGATATTTTGCACTTTATTTCGCACCTCGTGCCTAGAAGAGGTCCAAAATCTTAATCTTTACTCGACACTCCTGTATAGGTTGTACCTTGATCGCTAACGTTTCGGTTTTTAATCCAAGGCAATTATGCAAATAGAGAACCATTAAATCTGATTTGAAAAGTTTGATTTTATTTGATTCAGCGTTGTTGGATTTGAATTCATACCCAAACAGTTTGAAACTTGAATAGGTATAGTATAGAGACCGTATGTCTTATTTTTTATGACTTTTTGTCCCATATAAGATAGAAAAAAGGTAAAAACTGCCCATATTAGTTATTTTTACGTACAATCCAGCGGCGTAGTAAAAAAAATGTTTGGACCACCGTTTCTAGATTTGACCCAATGTTGGTACTTTTTTAAACGCAACACCCTGTATATCTTAAAGTCGTTTTTTGCATTCTTTTTCTTGATTACATTGATGTATCACAACTTATTGTTTTTTTTTAATTTTAATCATGAACCAAAAGTAAAAACCCTATTTGTTACAGTTTTGAAATAGCAGGCCATGGATTCATGGAAATTTTGTTTTGTTTATTACATCCATGATAACTAAGGCAGCCAATAGCACTCAATAAAAATGGCTAATGGTAGAAACAAGTCGTTTTACCGCAAACAGAAAATCCAGCTCTATTTCAATTTTCTCATAACAATTTAGTTCGATTTTCTCACGAGAAGCAAAGGCAATTGGAGTACTTACTTAAACCGCCCCTATTGACTTCATGATCAAAACTGTGACCTTAGTTATTATACAGCGCGTTCGAGATATGAGGGTCACCTAAATATCTCTTTTATTTGGCGAGATACGAATAATTTGTCAAACATAATAATAATAAACATTATATGTGATATTACCATATATCCCATCGCATAACGAAACTTCCGGTGTCATTTCCGGAAATGAATTCCAACTCTTGTTCTCCAAAAGAAACACATGTTTTTATGATATGTATTTGAAAAGAGCAATCAATTTGCTGTGCGACAACATAAAATGTGCGTATGGTTAACATACAAAATAACTGAGAAATACGTGATTCAATATTTAGAAAAGTTATGAAATCTATCCATATCTAGCCATATCATACAAACTAACCTGTTCAATGTTCGTTTTAAACAATTACTTTGACGTGATACTATCTACCCGTGTAACACAACAGACCTCGTATCCTGCCAGCACACGGAATGCTAGATTTCATAAATTTTCTAAATATTGAATTTCTCCATTTTTGTGTCTATTAACCACGAGAACCATTATGCATATTTTATGTTGCCGTACACAAAATTGATTGCTCTTTTCAAAGATCTTGGGCATTGCATTTGAAAAATAAAAGTTGCATCGATTTCCAGTTAAACAGGTTTCAATATGCATTTGGATAGATCGTAATGTCATTTATTATAATATTATACCGTGAGTTTTTTTAACACTGACCATAGGATGTTACATGCTAATTTTTCAACCCCCTACTAACTTTTTAACCGCGGCTCTACAGAAATACCGCATCCGGCCTAAAGCACCATGAGACATAGTAGAACATTTAAAAAAATGACCTCGTCAGTGTCAGTGATAATGATATTGTCGAAGTATACCTTACACCTACATTTTTTGCAATATTTCTTTAGCAGAACTTAGTCCAAACTCATTATATCAGAGAATGCTACAGGCTCCTAACGGCGGACAAAGCTCTTAATGAATCTCAACAACCCTGGGTTAGGACTAATAAAGGTTTTTAAGACCTCTCACAGGTTCTATTGCTCAGAGTGAGAATGCCAAAATCGTTGTTCATGGGTGAATTTCGGTGGGAAGACGATAAAAGGTTTTTGGTTTTGCGTACGGTGGAAAATTTGGTTTCCTTATTTTAAAAGGAATTCTAAAATGCATTTAAACTCTGTATAATAGGAACTGGCGGTGGCGTCATATCTAGGTTATCTCTATTTATTACCCGCAAGTTGGAAGTGACAGAAAATTGATGTTATTAAGAAATGTCGAGTCGGCGTTTATCACATGTCAGTTCTCACTCATAAACTTAGCCCAAAAATCAATAAAGTTTGACACTTCAATGTTGCAGCTCTCAATTAAACGTCGGAATAATCGTCATCTTTGTCTTTGTTAGAAATATAGAGAGAGTAAACCGACGTCACCAGACAACAAGTCAAATTAATCAATATGTAACGTACCTTAATTCTAACGAAATGTAAAAAAGATGACGTAGAGGTAACTGCCAGTTCCTATTAGCAATGGATGGTATAATGTTTGCAATTTACAAATCACAAATGAGGGTGTAGTCTCGTACTTTTTTTTGGTAGGTTGCAATAGAGCAGTCTTCTTAGACCATAGTATATGGACTGCTATAGGTTCAATACAAAATGAGTGGTCACAAATGGGTGGCACTGTATAACGTGGATATGTGAATCTTGTAGTAAACTAAAGTCGTGTAAACATCAGTCGGAAGAGTTTTTTTGAAGTTATTACTTAGCTAGTTTTTTTTCCTAAGGAGTAATACCTATAGCTCATAGCTTTGGTCCGTTGGCTGTTACTTGTTAACACGAAACAACGACGGTTTTCAAGGTGTCCACAAAAAAAGAAATCGGTCAATTTTTGTTTTTCTCAAATAAAAAACAATGATATTAAGTTCAAAACTAGGTATATGTGAAATCGGCTCACAATTATGTATGTAATTTAACCTTTTTTTTATCCCTTTGGTCTAAACACGCGTTGTAGGTAAACTGGAGATTTAAAATGATTTTGGTGGATTCTGGATTCATGTTTCTTCGTTCAACAGTTAAGTGGTCAGATCACAGCAGACAAATTTATTGGTAATAGACATCGTGATGTCAAAACCAAAATACCATACGACAAAGTTCGGCTTTGAAATCATGTTTATTTTTTCTTTTTGTGTAAGTACCTACATTGTTCTGGGATTTTCTTATATTCGCTGTATTAATAAATAATATTTATTACCACGGGGTTGGGTTTTAAAGAATACAATTTCTCTGAGATTACATCTTGTGTATTGATGTACGATTTTATCCTCTCTTAACAGCTTAATAAGTACTTAATATCTGCAAGGGCTTTTACGTCGCCGTTTAATTAAATTTCATTACACACAAGCGTAGGAAAACTATAAAAACACTTAATAAAAGCTAAATGTTGCTGGCTTATAACAGAAACGTAATAAAGAAAACCATAACGGAGCGCGCTCGCGATCTACATTTTATTTCGATCGTCTACACACCCTTCCTTCCAGTAATATATGTTGAGTACACAAATGTAAAATGTAAACGGGCTTGTATTCGCAATTCGACCATACGTCTCAATGTAAAATACGAATGCAGAAATGGAATTGAACTTGAAACAGGCAAATTGAAATATTCCCTAGTGGTAAATACGTACGTACCTACTCTTGTGCAATGAAACAGTTTCAGAAGGGACAGAATTGTTGTTACCCGTTCCTTTTCTTAAAATCCACGAGTATTGGGATGCTTAAAAATTGCATCGGCGCGGCGTACCTATCAAATGTGATCTTGCGGCTTGATGGTGTTACGCCCCTATTTTTAAATGAGGACATTTTTCTTACGCTTTTTTCATTTCAGATTTTACGAGACATTCGGGAAGGGCTTTTACAGCTTGGAAAAGAAGGATATCGGGGTCCCTTGACGTGTGGTACATATAGTCGCTTAAAAACGTACATGTTGTTAACATGCTTAATATTCACAGATGACACTTATATGTATGATGAAGACGTACGTGTGATGGCACCAACAGCCCACGGACACGATCGGGGGCACTGGTATGACGAACCACCCTACGAAAGTGACCCTGAAGATTTTTTAATGGGAAGTAGTCCAGGTCCTACGGCTACAATACAAAACGGCAGAGTCTGCTTTACTCTCAATCAAAGGCAGGAATCTCGAGGGGAAGGCGTAATCTCACTTAGAACTGCAGGAGATATATCTCTACCTAGAGATATTCCCTGCGCATCAACTCCCAGGGGCGCACCTAGACGAGGGCTTATTTTACCACAGGCTGGACATCCCCCCACCATTATACCTTTAACACACTCAAGGTAAACTATAATTTAAATAAACGACTGTCTACGTTTGCCAATGTTTTATTTCGGTTCCATGAAAGCTTAATTTAAATTAACAGGTCGGCAAGGGACAGAGAGAGTGGCGACTACGCCGGTTCCGACATCCAAAGTATTAGCTCGCGACTATCGACACTATCAGTTGACACTAGTCGATCTGATCAGCCCGACTTTCATGATAATAAAACGCGCCAATACAGAAAATTACACAACTACAGAAACGAGGAGTGTCTTTCACCTAGTCAAAGTTCGGATTATGAAGACCAGGATGATTTTGAAAATTGTAGTCAGCAAATTGGCACCGTTCACGTGGTAATTAGTGCTGGAGTGTTTTCTTAAATTGCAGTATGTTCTTTGCAGTCGAGTGATGGCCGTTCTACTGGTGTTTGCACCTTAGTGGGTAAAGTGCGAGGCCTCCGACACGACGTGCAACGAAAAATCTCCAAATTAAGAAACGAATCATTGGTAGAACAAGAAAAGCGGGCAGATCAAGCGTTCCCATGCTCTGCTAGTTCAATAGAAAGCTTGCCAAGTGGATCTGGATCTAGTAAATGATTGCGTTTTAAATTTCTCTAAGTAACTGTGATTTCTAGGCACTCAAGCTTTAGTTAGAGTAGGTAGCAACCATAGTTCTATATCTGTCGAAGATGTTGATTCAAGTCCAGCTGATCCACAAATTATTGGCCGTGCCAGAGCATTGGTAGAGTACACTCCTAGTCCTTACGATAAAGATGCACTGAAATTCAAGGTATATGATTTAATATATTATTATTCTTATTTTCTAGTTCTGCGCATTATTCTCTTTATGCAGTAATTAGTCGCCAGCCACGCAGGCTTCTTTGCTGCATGAACGCGTGAAGGTTTCACATACACAATTATTCTCGCCGTCGTACGGTTTCAGAAGTATTAAATCTTACGCCGAAGTAATAGCAAGTGAAGGGATAAAATGCACAAATTTTTTTAACATTACAGTCTCCATTGCAGAGCACATTGGGGTAAATCAGGGGGTAAATTAAATTAACTTTTTTATGTCCTACGGTTTTTCATCATAGTTGTTTACGGCGAATTCTCCCTAAATATCATTTGGTTAACTCCCGGTTTGTTTGTGCACTCTCTATTACAAAAACTAAAAAAAACACTTATCGCGAATCAGGAAATCATTTCTTCTATGTGCTCGTGCCGCTTTCTGTGGCATACCCAATCATCTATTGACAATTGGAGAGAGAGACAAGTACCTACCTTCTACTCTCGACGCCAAAAAGTTTGTGCACTGGAGTTTGAAGCTTAATAAAAAAAATAACCATTGGGTCGATTTTAATGGGACTTGCATTCCGTTGACCTAACAAACATTTTTTTGAGTAAATACATCATTACAGCACGCGAACTATAAAAAATACACCGTTTTTAATTGTCATTTCATTACAGAAGGGTGACATTATTGATATTTTATCAATGAATGCCAGTGGACAATGGAAGGGAATTTGCCATGGCAAGAAAGGCACGTTTAAATTTATCAACGTAGAACTGTTATCGGAGCGGGCGATTCGAAACAAGAAGGAAATGAAATGGCACCGCAACATTGTAGGGAAACCAACATCTGTTGAAGAATTGCTACGTACAATAAACATGCAGGAGCATATATCTGTATTTGTGTTGAACGGCTATGAGGATTTAGAATTGTTTAAGGAAATTGAACCATCTGACTTAGACTATTTAGGAATTATCAATTCTGAACACAGAGCAAAAATACTAACAGCTGTACAATTTTTGCACGATCTTGACTGTAAGTAATAAACTTTTCTCGAATGTCTATTGTTTATCTAGCAAACTGTTGTAGCGGGTAGCGAAGGAGACGTAGCGGGCTCCAGTAGCGAAGGTGACGAGCATAACAAATGTAGAATAATGAACGTGGGCGGCACATGTTCACCGTTTGAACGTCGTCAATTTCCGAGAGACTCCGGCTGTTACGATGCATCACTTAAAAGCTCAACAAAAGTGCATCACATATCTCCTCAAGACGAATCAGACACCAGTGATAATAATGGATTTTGTGATACAACAAATAATTTAGATTCAGTAGTAGAACAATGCAACAATGAAATTTTAGCGAGGGTACGACAAGCTCAAAAGAATGTCATAAATTTGAAAGAAGAGGCCCCATACCAACCAAATATTACTAACCTGCCTAATTCCTCTAGCGCAGATAAAATTCAGCAAAAGGCAAAAGATACTTATGTAGGTATTCATGGCCAAACAACTTTAATAGATCCCTGTCGAAGAAACTTACTAAATCGAGGAAGCTACAGAAAAAACACGAACATAGAAGATTCTTGTGAAGCTGATCAGAAATTAACGACAGTTAAGTACGTTGTCGGTGCAAATAATGAACTATCTCTAGGAGAAGGTGGCAATACTGGTAATATGGCTGGTAGAGGGGGTTGCCTAAGCGAAAAGTCTAGTGATTCTGGTGTGAGTAGTAGTTCTCTATCTTCGGCAAATCACAAAGATGGCCGGCAACCAACTCTCAGCCAAAATGAAAACTTGATACGAGGAGTAAACAATTTTTCTAGCTGTGCCAATCGAACAACGTCCAATGCTGCCAAATAATCAAATTGATCTTGCAATCGGTGTCCTAATTTCTTTTCTAATACGAATTTGTACAATTTTAATAAATTTTACACTTCCGACATTTTTGTATAGGGTTTTTTCTTATTTATTTGTATATTTCTAGTTAGCTAATAGGTGTAAAATAAAATGTTTGTATAAAGAAGTAATTTATTAAAATACTGTTGTTAAATAAACGTGATAGCAACTGAAATGATAAAAACAGATTTTTATCTATGTTGTAGGAGATATGTACATATATAGTAAGGTAACAAATTTTGTAAATATTATTTATTATGAAGAGCTAGTCTCCTTGACATACTATACATTTCCATAGTGAAAATCAATAAATAATTAGATTTTTTTATTAACAATTGACTGATTTTGAATTTTTCAATGTAGTATAAAGCATATCAACTGTTGTACATGTTTCATGTAATCAGAATTTGTAACATGTATGTCAGTCAATGATGGAGACCTTTATTAATAAAACACAAAGAACTTCAATTTTGTATTGATAAAAACTGTAATAAGACCACCTTTTTCCTACAACACTATTCTTTCAATAGCACGTTTTAGAGAAAAGTAGCTGAAGACATGGACAAATGGAGAGGCGTGTGAGAGATTTTGTGGTACCATTCCCTAGTCCGAGAGGAGAGAAGAGAGTTACCTAAGCGCGGAGCGGTCGTGTATTTAATTCAATTTACAAAAATGGGTTAACACAGTAGGTAATGTGACGGTGGGATAACAAAAGAAGTTAACATGGTTATGGAAGGTGTGAGAAATTTTACAGTGCTATCCTGTCATTCTTTGACTGATCCATTAGGCATTAGCCCATTGCTAAGTTAGTTTTAACAATTTCAGGGTGAATCAGATTCTGTTTAGTAAGGCACAAAAAATACTCTCCCTTATTGGATATAATATATAATTGGACTTCCTAAAAGGTCATAAATCCCTCACAAATGTATTTTTAATATGTACCATTCTATGTATATATGCGCTAAGGACACTTTCTGACGTGAAGGACCAATCTTAGACCGAGTATAACTTTTATTTGAAAAGTGATTTTCAAAAATTATTTGACAATTTGGTTCTTTAACTCAAGTACTACTAGTTCGAGCTAGCTCCCTTACTACATGTAGACAACAAGTTTTGTGGAATTCTCTCCAGTTTCGTAGTGCGGCCAAGAATTGCAGTGGAATTTTTTCGAATTTTCAAAAAGTAATTTCAGATTCGTGTTTTTCATGTTTAAAAACCCCCAGATACCAAAAGTCGTCGAAATCAGAATTTTTTCGCACTCCCAATTAGGAGTGCGTACCCTTCGTGGTGGGAATTTTGAAATAATTTCTGCAAAATCGGAAAAGGCATACCCAAAAATCTATTAAAAGACGACCAGTCTTTGTAGGAAATAAGAAACGTAAGTACGGGGACCAACCAGAACTATATGGTGAACACTGGGTGGTTCAACAACTTTGGCTGCTCCAAAACCGGCATTGTTTGCTGTGTGAGAAGACATTGTTGCCATTCTAACATTTAAGATTCACTAAAAATCAGTAATTAAAGATAAAGATTGCAATATCAAAATCTACGAAATGAGTGGTTCTACTTTCTACCTTGGCTCACTCTGTACATAAGCCTAACTAATAATTTTAGCTGAATGCACCCAATAATCTAAACGAAAATTTGGCAACATGTAGCGTTGTCAATGTTATGCCTAACCTCAAATTTTGACGAAAATTGGCGCTTAAACATAAGTTGTTTATATTTTTTAATATTTCCTTTGTTCTAAGCCTTGTATTTTATGTTGTAAATACTAATTTAACACACTTTTCAATTCCTAAACCAACACAAATATGAAGTGCACCATACCCGAAATATCCTGGCATAATCGAGATCCTGTGCTCAGTGTCGATGTTCATTGTGTGCACAACGAATTTTACAAGTTAGCATCAGGGGGTACAGATTGCCACGTCTTAGTATGTGCCGTTACACTTCCCTTGTACCAAAATTAAACAGTTTGTCTTAGATATGGAGGTTAAGAATTCGTGAAAATGGGGCTGTCGATATTAATATTGTTTCTGATTTAACTCGACATCAAAAGTCTGTTAATGTCGTACGGTGGTCTCCAACCGGTACGTATTTAGCGACCGGTGATGATGATGCCAATATTATTATTTGGAATTTGAAAACTGATAACATTCCAATGTTGGAGGAGACAAATGACGAAGAAGTTTGGTTGGTTACAAAGGTGAGATCGGCCGCATGTGTTTCCCTTACTTAAAACAACTGCTTTTAAGATATTACGTGGTCACAAAGAAGATGTGTATGATTTATCATGGTCTCCTAATGAAATGAAGTTAATCTCTGGTTCAATTGACAATACAGCGATTCTCTGGGATTTTTCCAAGGGACAAACGGAGTATATATTATCTGACCATAAGGGCTTTGTTCAGGTACAGTTTTTTTTGTTACACATACACTCCATTGCTGTATTAACAGAATGTTTAAAAGGAGGGTTAAAGGTTTCATACTTAGTATCAACAATCAGGTTAAAATTTTTTCAAAATTAGGTGTTGTTTTGTCTTGTATCGAATTTTGTAAACAATACAATAGAGGTAGGGTATGCATAAGTTGGTGGCACTTTCCGTTATACCAGAAGTTGACGTTATCTTGTTTATTTTAAATGGAACACCCTATATATTATTTCATTTTTTGATTCTACCTATATACATTTCACACAGACCTAAATTTAGCATTTTTCAAAAGCGTTTTAAAATACTGAGGTAAGCATAAAAACTTTTTAATTTCACATTCTGATCCAGAATTGTTTTAGAAATCCAAAAATTTAAAAATATAGGGTGTTCCGTTTTTCAAATTCAAAACCAGAGTTACTTCTTGTGAAACCAGATGTGCCCAGCAAGTCAAACATGTGCAAAAAATCGCGAGGGTGGGGGGTTGAGGATTGTAGACAGATAATCAAAAGTTTTTTTTAGGGTGTGACTTGGGATCCAAAAGGTGATTTCATCGCAACTATTTGTAGTGATAGAGTCTGTAGGGTATTCGACAGCACAGGAAAACACGTCAGAGCTCGACTTCATAAAGGTTCACTTCCGGTAACCGAATGGAACGAAATGCCCAATCAAGAAATCAAATATTTCCACGATGACACATTCAAATCCTATTTTAGGAGATTAAATTATTCGCCGGATGGCAACTTGTTAATAGTTCCTTCGGGTTGTATAGAATCTGCCAATGGTAAAATGGCCAAAAATGCTACCTATGTTTTTGCTGTCGCAGATTTATCACAGTACGTTTGCTTTGGTGGTTATACCATGAGTTTATGCTGTACTTTTAGACCTGTGGCTGTGATTCCCTCACCAAAACAAATTACAATTGCGGTTCGTTGTTGTCCCGTATTATTTGAATTACGCCCCGATGGAAGGGACACATTGATTAATCTTCCCTATAGGATGATCATTGCCATAGCTACTGATAGTGATGTGGTACTGTATGACACGCAGCAAGTTGCACCATTTGCTCATCTCAGAAGAATTCATTACACTCGCATCACAGATTTGGCATGGTCTTCTGACGGTCTACTCTTGGTTGCCTCTTCTACAGATGGTTTTTGTACCTTAATTACATTTCAAAAAGAAGAATTAGGTATCCAATATACAAAGGAAGAAAGTGAATCTGAAGATTGCATTTTGAATGTGAGCGGATCTGGTGAAGAGTTAGTTAATTTGGAAATTGAAAGTAAAAGTAAAGAAAAAGAAGAGATAGTAGTCAAGAAACCAAACATTTTGGAAAAGTGGACAATTCGTACTCCTAAAGTTGACTGTGGCCTAAGTAAGTACTTAGCTTTTCCAATTACTGCATTCTTTTGTGGGTTGTTTGTTTCACTTCTATTTTTGTTCAGTGTGAGGAATTTCAGTACTAAGTTAGTTGTTTATTTCAGGTTCTACTCCAAATGATCACCCTAATCAGACTATGAATGTTGAGACACCCCACAGTAAAATTATTGACACTGCAAAACCAAAACCTAAGAGAATTGTGCCTATACGATTAGGAGATTGTTCAACAAAGAAAGTGTGTGAAACAGGTGTTACACCTTCTGTAGAACTAGAGGATAGCAGTAAAACAAAAGATGAAGCAACTTGTTCAAGTACAATAGTTATAGACGAACCATGTGATGGTGTTAATAAAGTTTCACCAAAATCTTTCAGAGGTGGTAATGATAAGGAGGATGATTCTAAAAATAAAAGTGGAAACCATAACATTACTCCAAAAAAGAAGAATTCTATTCTAAACTTCTTTCAATTGGTTACCACTGATTCGCGCACTGATAAGACCGATAGTAACGAGGACAAAAATCACATGGAACCCAACACAGATCATTGTGATGACTCAAATGTAATTGATTTGTGTGATTCGGATAGTAACGTAGATGAACAAAACAATTCCACATTAAAAGAGACTGAAATGGAAGCAACTTCTGCAGCTCCAGAAAAAGAAAATGTCGCAAATGTCGATAATTCTACTTTAAGTCAAGACACAGAAATAAAAAAAAATACACTAAAAATTCCAAGGCGAATACCTTTGATCACGTTAGGAAGCCCAAAGCGAAAGAAAAAAGAATAGCATAATAGACGTTTATTTAATTTAATTGTAACATCATGTTTATCTTATTCTAAATACATTTTTATATTATTATTTCTCACTTCATAATTATACAAAACAGTCGCGAATACAGACAGAAATCTATTATACAGTGATATTTATTAAGAAGTAGACATAGGGATTTATGTGTATTATTTTCCCCATTTCTACTTTTAAATGACAACATTTCTTCAGAAGGGCCCTTATTCACTCAGAATCACCTGCCCCATTCGCTCGCAAGCTCGCTCGTGTCGCAAACGTAAACTTTCTGAATAAGCGGCGTAACATGCGTGTACTACTATCACGAGAGATGTGCGAGAATTAATTAATTAATTATTAACAAAACAATTATTGCGCGCTATTAAGTAAGTACTGTATCGACAGTATCCGCGAGTTTTCTTTAATCTACCGATCGCGGCCGAGTCATAGATATAATACTCATATGAGTCATATGTCTATGGGCCGAGTACAGTACAATCAACACTTGACGCGACACCACTGTCTTCTCTTTTGCTTGACGAAACTTAACTTCATACAATGATACCACTGAACTAAAAATAATATAATTCTGTGCCTCATACCAATACACAAAACAAGCATTTCCAATGCTAAAATACCTCAGGTTTTTATCCAATGGTATACACAGCTATAGCGAGACCTGGGTGTATTGTGGGCTGCCTATAATCAACACTTAATTCTCGCAACTTGAGGAGAGAATGGCCCATATGAATAAAAAGGAGCATATGCTTATACTTACAAAATTCAAAGTAAATACTCGGAAGTGCTCCTTCACACTGAGCGACTTAGCAGCGCTGCTGAGCAGCAGGACAGGACGCAGTGCAGCGCTGCTGAGCAGCAGGACAGGACGCAGTGCAGCGCTGCTAAACAGACCAGTATGAAGGAGCAGTTACGAGTATTTACTTTGAATTTTGCAAGTATAAGCATATGCTTCCTTTTATTCATACGGGCCATTATCACAGTGAGTGAAGGTTGAGAGGAAACTTCAAAGAGTATTATCGCAGATATATCTGCGGTATTATACAGAAATTGAGCTATATTGCATGACGTTGAAACTATACAAAGTGACGCTATGGTAGTTATAAAAGGTCTAATCTTGCCGACTATAGAAACTAATAATAAAATATCCAAATATAAGATTAAAAAATGCCCCTGTATAAAACTTCAGCAATCTCAAAATGATGTTTGCCGTATTTTTAGTGAATAATTGCACTAAAAACGAACATTTGATCGTGATTTGTACATGCTAAAGTTAATCATTTTCAAAAAAATACACAACTGTTATATTATCTAAAATTATCACCTCTGCATAATATAGGGCACTAAAAATAACAATGCTCAGTCATTAGTATAAAGTTTATATTGTGATGTGGTCTTAAAAGATTAGTACATGTCTTTTTTAAATTTATTATAACTCTTTTTTGTTATTTTTTGCAAAGTACTTCTTCTTTTCCAGTGGATTGGGAATGATCTAAAATTACAAAAATAAATGTACGCTCGAGATCAATAGGTGACTTACTGTGTCCTGTCCTGGCACCCATCCAGCTGGACATACTTCTCCATGTTGGTCGGTATACTGGAAGGCTTGAACCAATCGCAGTGTCTCATCAACACTTCTTCCAACTGGCAAATCATTCATTGTAATTTGCCGTAATTTACCCTTATGATCAATAATGAACAAACCCCTTCAACGAAATTGTTAGGTTGTGTTGATCACATGATTTTCTTACCGAAGTGTATGTCCGACATCTTCAAGGAACACACCGTAGTCTTTAGCAATACTGTGATTCAAATCGGATAGGAGTGGAATGTTTACTTTGCCCAAACCCCCTTCTTTCCTAGGAGTATTTATCCATGCCAAGTGCGTAAAATGAGAATCAACAGAGCATGCAACGACTTCAGTATTAATCTTTCTAAATTCCTCAATTCGATCGCTGAATGCCAATATTTCAGTGGGGCAGACGAATGTGCTACATTACAAAATTAAGTATTCAAGTATGTTATGTCAAGACTCACAAATCCAAGGGGTAGAAGAAAAAGACAAGGTATTTGCCTAAGTAATCGGTAAGCTTCAGTTCAACGAATTCACCGTTCATAACTGCTGTGCTTTCCCAATATGGTGCTGGTTTCGCAACTAATGAAACAGCTGTAAGTGTGCTGTGATAATTACATGGATACTTACTTAAAGCTTTCGTCCATTGTAACTTATGGTCGGAAGTTTCTCGATTTGATCCCACTGGGTAAACTGAACCGCCAGCATACGAATGGCAATTGTGATAATCGTTGCAAGTTGTAAAACAGGCACTTATAAGTAATACTGCCGCATAAAAATAAGATCTCATTTTTAGGTTAGGTAATTAGTTAAACGTGGTACTACACTTAAATACTGTACGAAAATACACCGTTTATCAGATTACAACCTCCAGATATTAAAATAGGAAGTAAACATTTCATACGTGCATTTCCCCAATTTGAAAAATAGCCAAGTGTCAATAAGGTTACCGATAACCATAACCTAAAATAAAAAAATCTTTTAGCGGCGTTGCCATGGTGATGCGAATTATTTGTTTCTTAAAGATTTTGATATTAATAGTCGTTTTGTTTGTTTCCCCAATTCTTTCCCCTTTAAATGTGTAGTATTAATGGAATCTGTCGAAATTAATGTATCTGAAACAGTATCGGACAATGAAGATGATTATGGAAACTACTGTAAGTACTTATCTACGTTTATTTATTAAAAAATTAATATTTAGGTACTTATCGATTAAATAAATTTCAGTATTATATTCTGCCCCTGGTCTGACGTAAAAACATCACTCCTCCTTCTTGTAGGTGTTATGACGAATTATCAATGCTGTTGACATCCGTCATCAGTAATTCAACAGGGATTAATTTTAATCTAACCAGTTTTATTTTTAGAAGAAAATTACAAATAAACGTGGATTTTAACAGTGAAAGAGAAGTTTCACACAGCAAAAGCTGAATCGTCTGAAATGTTTTTTCATAATTTTTTTCAGAGCTTTTTGGAAACATTTACGTACGTTTTAGGCCATTTCCTTTTACAAGGGCTTCCGGGCTTTCATGTGGGTGTTCTGCTGGCACCAGACATTTTCTAGGACACCTCACCTAACTTTGGAAAGGTTATAGATGTGTTCATATATCAAAAGTTCTAAGGACTCCTTAAAAGGCTCAGAAAACGCTATCAGTGTCTCATTCTCGATCTAGAGCATTATCTGTCTCTGTGTTTCAAAGAATTCATGGTGTTATCGCCGTTTAAGCATTCTAATAAACAATGACTAAATGTTTATTTATTTATTAGAAAAAACACGTCATATTTCTCGGAAAGAATACGTCATATCCGCCTTCGTTCCTTATCACCGGTGAGTAATCCTTTATCGACTTGTTGGCGACCTGATGGCGCCACGATGTCGCTGTGGATTTCTGGAATATTTTGCTACAATATTACACGTCTTGTCTTGGTCTATCGGTGTATCTTACCGTGTTGATATGCTCTCAAACATTTAGCCTATGGGAAAGTGTTATTAAATAACCTTTTTGGACGTTTTGGAATCGTAATTGTACAGTTCCTATGACGTCACATTTGACTCACATTTGCATTTTTGTTGTTGTACACAGTCATATTGAGGTTCAGTAGCATTTCATTTTGTATTAACTTCGTCTTACTTAAATTTTTTTGTATATTTTTTCCTTACCTTATATATCACCGCTACCTTTAAATTACTACTTTAACCCATTTTTTAAAAATCAATTGTATTCTTTCTTGCAGAATTATCATAATGTATTTTAATTTACTTTGGCCGTTTACACAAAATATTCTCGGCACTTTTGCTGCTTGTCAGTAATCTACGATTACTATGAACAATTTGGGATATGTACGGTCATTGACAAAAGTAATGCTCACCTAATTATCATTACTCGGCACTTTTGCTGCTTGTCAGTAATCTACGATTACTATGAACAATTTGGGATATGTACGGTCATTGACAAAAGTAATGCTCACCTAATTATCATTACTTTTGCCAATGACTGTACAAAGGTAGGCAACATACAACGCCACCTCAAAAACGGCAAACATCCAAATGCGAAAACCGCTTATATTTTCTTTAGTAATCATATTTGTTGGGAGCTACTTTATTTAGACAAATTTGTGTCCATTTTGTAAAAGAAATGCTGTATTATTCTTTCTCTGCCTATCATGCAATCATGGACACTTGCACCCTGGTCATTTGCGTTCGGGGTAATTAGGCGAGACAGTTACGCCTTCAAAAATGTTTTTCCTAATGGTGACTTCACTATTATTAATGAATGTGGCATAATTGGTGAGAAAATCCTGACGTCACCAGAACTGTTGGTACCTACTGCTTGCTTCCAAACAAAAGTACTCCGCTGATGTTATATTTCTGTTTAAAAAAGTTCAATTTTAGAATATAAGTGGTTAACGGTATTTAATAAGATTTTTTCGATGGAATAAGAGAGAAAATAAAGTCCCGATGATTTTTGCAAATCGGCGGACTGTGGAATTTTTTATTCATCCAAAAAATGTTGTAAGTTATCAAATGTAATAACTTTCAAAATCATTTTTGGTTGTTTCGAAACAAGTTCCAATGTCAAAAGCTAATTTCTCGCGAACTATTCAATAAATTTGAAGTATTTTCTCTAAATGTGTGTCTTTCATGTCATCATCGACTTAAATCGTTAATTTTTTTGGTATTTACGATGTTTTCAACTATACATAACTACATGTGAAATTAGATGACTGATTTTGTTCCTTAACTCATCAAGTATGTACACATCTTCGTGGAATTCTCTTTTTTTATGTTGTTCGGCCAAGAATTGCAGTGGAATTTTTTTCGAATGTTCAACAACTTATTTCAGATTCGTGATTTTCATGTTCAAAAGCCCCCAGATACCAAATTTCGTCGAAATCAGAACTTTTTTAGCATCCCCATTTAGGGGTGCGCGTTTTTGTGGTAAGAACTTTGAAAAAATTTTGCAAAATTGAAAAGGACATGCCCCAAAACCTATTCAGAGACGTTCCGCCAGTCTTTGTAATTCTTATGGTTGCTGATAAATGATTAAAGAAGAAACGCAAATCACCACTTTGTTCAGGGTAGCTCCCAAACAAAACGCTTTGGTATCTCAGTTTATTTGGAAGGAGTGCTTGTTTTGATTCTCTCAACAAACCCAATTTTTTTGCATATTTATATGTAACACCCTGTATTTTTATTAGTTACCTAATAATATTATTATATCAGTTATTAACCAATTTATTATTATTTTTCAGTTTTACAACCGGCTTCATCGCCGTATGACATCGCTGAAAAAGTTAAACAGGCCAATAACGAACTGTTTAATGAAAATCAAAATGTGGAGGACAAACAAGTGAAAGTCAAATTTAGAGAGAACTTAGTAGATTATGAGCCAGAATTTTCTTACGATGACGTCAGCAGTATTGAAAGTGAAGACAATATCGATTATAGTGCACTGGACCAGGACACGTCTATACTTGAAAGTCACTTAGAGACTGCTCTAATTTTAAACGTAACGAATAGTGACGAAGAACAAAATGAAGAGGTAGAAGAAGAGGAAGTGATAGAATTAATACCCAATACTTTCATTTCGGAAGAAAATGTAGATGGTAGTATCAGTGTGCGTTGTGAAAATGTTTCTGATAAAGACCGACAGGATTATAACAGATCTGCTGAAATTGAAAGTAAAACATCTCCATTAAGAAAAAACCACAAAACATTGTACTTATCCGAAGAGATATCATGTAAAAGACATTGTATCGATAGTATAGATCGATTTGATTTTAATTCTAACATTAGGAAAGTACATTTGGTGGAAAAACCATTTAAGTGCCCACGCTTAAAGCTGCAACATCGCAATTGCTGCGAGAATAATGACATTAAGTTACAACAGAAACTGCCTTGTTACAATGGTCTACGGTCCGAGTACGGTTTAAATGCTTTACAACTGGAAAGGAGAGAACGAAGAAATGAGATTTTGAAATTAAAAGAACAGGAGAGGCAACGGGTGATTGAGGAAAGAAAGCGAAGAAAGGTGCAGCAAAACGAGGAAATCTTTTGCGAATGGTTGCGCTCTGTATCTTCTAGGAAAAATTATCACAAGAACGTTAAAAGAAAAGCTCCGTTAAACACCACAAAAATCACGTTCCCAGCAAAACTTGATGATCGACCTAATACAGCTTTTAATTCACAAAAGGACGTCAAACAGGCGATGCAAAAGAAGCGACCGTACACTTCTTCAACTTGTATATTTATTGAGGTACCTCAAGGCATTTTAGAAAATGGGATAAGCATTGGTGACCTTTTAGTTAAGGGGAAGCGAAAAGATAATAAGCAACTCCATCTTCTTACATTTAGTTAAACAGCACTTCTTATTTGCGAAAACCCGTAGTAATGTGGTTAATTGCACTACACTGCATTCTGGAAGAAGATGAAATGAACTATTATATGTGACTAGCTCGTAGAAGAAAACTAGCTACTATATAGTAACACTATTGTTTTGTGAGATAACGTCTTTTTTATTGTGGTATGAATGTATGTATATTATACAATTAATTTAACTAATTTTCTATTTTGTTGCATACGAAGCAACGTCGAGAATAAATTAATTCTGGTTGGTGAATTGCAATTAGTAGTTTTAAGTGACTTACAAACTTATAAGACTTTTCTAAGTGATTTCAGCGCAATTAATTAAGAAAGAAATTAATTAAAACAAAGTTTCTCCCCCAAAATTCCCTATAAGTTAAACAGAATTTTACAAATGATAAACTTATCTTCAACATTCAACGAGAAAATTGTTAATAGTGCAAAAAGCTGAAATCCTGCCTTCAACTGCCAAAGGACCATTATGATTTATAATGCGGAAGTAGTCACCTGCTCCCCCGGACCATTCAGCCTCTGATTTGGAGAATGACTCATTTTTAAAACAGCAGCTATTTGATCAAACAAACCAAGACGATTTTCGTTCATTTCAATACAAGATTATTTTACTGCTTAGGTTGGTTCAATATCTGCTGTGGTAATATATGGGAAAATATCTCCTTTATAGCAAAATTTCTGTATTTTATCCAATTATTTAAAGCTTCATTATAATTTAAGAGTTGCACATGTACGGTGTTTCTACTTACCTTTTAAAATTTTTTCGAACGATTAGCTTTGATTCGTCAGTTCTTATATATCTTCCAAGAACTGCTGTTCATTGTGGTGAGTTAGTCTATACGTACGTACAAACACAGTAGTAATTAATTTTTATTAAACCATTAATCATATTTGCTCATTTTAGGAATGTCGTACATACACGTTCTATTTTGTTGTAGTATTTTCAATCCTATTTTTTTCTCGATTTCGTTTTCTTTCTTGTTTTGTTTTCTTCTTTTTCTGTTGTTTTGCTCAACCGTCTTTTTGTGTTTAGTGGCGCCAACTGCTGTGCAACTCTTGGTAGTGATTCTTTGCATTTCTTTCCTACACATCAGAAGTGTCTTCCAGACTTCCAAGACAAGAACAAATTTTTCAGTAAAAAATTAAGTTTATGCGGACCTAAAATTGAAAAACTTGACATGAATTTCTGCGCACCATGTATAAAATTTTGTTTCTAATATAATAATCGACGCAACTCGTCGTTGGACACACTGTATATAGCTCTGTCGAATTTTCTTTTTCTATATTGTCAGCGCATTTTCCGCTGGAGATATCTATTACATCTAGGTAATATGGTTGCCTTGCCAATTAAATTAGTAAGAACATACCTATCGAATTTTGGAAAATGGGTGCAGCTCCGAAAACATAGAGTGTTGCTCCTAAATTAGAATAATAGCTGTGGAATTTGCCCCACTTTTGCCTGTGATTTGAGTAATCTTGAGGAACCTTTCTAAAAACCAACCCCCCAGCTACTGTGGTTGTAATTCAATCTACTAACAGCAATTGAGTTATAATAAATGACGTGTCCATATTTCTTGGGCTGTGATTATTGCAACTAAATAACGAAACTGTTCCTAAAATCCCTGTCCAGAATTGGATTCAATAATATTTCCAAATTAACGGTAAGGACCATAATTCAAATGTTAGCCTGCATCTATAGAATGTCGTTGCATCTGGATACGTACCATGACATGTATTACTTATGTTTCTTCTCACATGCAGTGTAAACGTATAGTAAATAAAAACGAAAAGCTTTAAAGTTTATTTCATTTGGATAATTTAACACAATTAAAATATATACATTAGAATCTTATTAGTAATTTAATCAAACAACGCATTTGGTATTTAATATCACAGAAACAAAATTAAAGAAACCGATGTATTTGCATGTAAGGTGGTGTACTTATAAATTTATAACGGCGATGCACACTTTTCCATTTGGTACATATCCCCCAATAATTGTGTTATTGGTATTTCGCCTATTGTATCTTTGAAAAACAATAGCTCTACTGTTAGCGCTCTAATAGCTCTCAAACTTGGCACCAAAAGTAAGAGTCGACCAAAACGTGTTGGTTGGCGTGGATAGCGAGTTCGCACGTAGTCTCCAAGTATACACTGGGCTTGATCTTGTAACATTTCCACGGGCTGTACGTCGCATAATCCGCCAGTTTCTGTAGTAAAAAAATTATCATACAAGACATAACGAATATTTTTTTTATACCTGGTGTAAACAGTACGACAGCTTTCATGCAACCGCATTCACTGCCGTCTGGTGATATTTGTCTAAATCGACACATTATTTCCTGTAACATAATTATCATCAATTATCATCGTACTTATTGTAAATTTCGATTTCTTGCTAATCATGCCAAGACAAAATTACCATGGTAATCAAAGTAGACAATAATATAGAAGCTATTCTTCCATTCCACTTTTCAAAAAAAAAGTTAAAAAAAGTATAATGTAATTTGTAGTCTAGAAACGTTGCGAAAAAAACTTTCAAAAGTAGAATTAAATAGCAATGAATTTTTGATGTGCAGGTCAGTGATGCTGGTTCCCAAACTAAAAGTCCAATGGGAAATTTCATGCTCTTTCTGAAAGGTTCTTTTTCAAATTTGAACACAAACGAAACGACGTGTTCAAACTTTCAAAAACCGTGTTTATATTAGGATCTTACAATCTTCATAGAATCTTTATAGAACTTTTCGAAATATTAGTACGTGTCTTGAAAATCCAGAATCTTTAGAGTAGACCCTTAGAATTTCTTACAACCATGTATTTCCATCATAATACTGTCTTATATTATTCAAAGCAATTTTACAATCGTGCTGCCCTTTTAGTTGTTCCAAATTGTTTTAAAAAGTTTCCCGGATATCACCAGTTTTCAACTTGTCTGTATCATCATTTTCTTTTTCTGGTGCATTGTGGTACTCCTGTATTATAACTACAACTCTACTCAAGTACTTTACTTGTTTTCTAGAAAAATATATCGAGTCCTTTGAATAATAGTACAAATTTCAAACGCGAATTCTGAAATTTGACGGTTGAGCCGACGAAGTGAATTAATTCATCATCGTTACTGGTTTGTGGTAAAACGTATTGTTAATCACGTCTTAAAGAGATGAAACTCGAATCTTAATTGTAACTATTAACGTCAATGTTACCCCATCGATGAATGGTCGATGTTTGGATCGTGTTAGAAAATGGTAGTGTACGCAGTCCTGCTTCCGAAGGGGTGTACGAGTTACCTAATTTACAAGTACAAATCATATTTGACCCCGCCGACAGTCATTATTTAATCAATGAGTCACGCAGGTTAGGTTCTTTCTCTTTTGATTTGTTTTTGGTGATAGTTGTATCGTCGGGAGCTCTCTTCGGCTACACATTTACCCACAGGTAAGATTTTACTTTTTCATATGATTGCACTTGTGTTTTCTTTATCGAAACAATTATTGATCGTTGTCATATTGTTTTGGGAGACTTTTGTGTTTTCTGCTGTGTAATTTTTATGCGATTATTCTTGAATTGAGGGTTTAGTTTTGAGTCAATTTTAATCAATACTTTTGAATATTTGGCATTATTTTTGTGTTTGTATTTGTGAGAATATACGTTATTCAATTTTGGAGATAATTTTATTTGATATTGATTAGAATAAACCAGTATTTCATTTGTTAATTTGATTTCACTGTAAGTTTCCCTTGTTTCTTCCCAGTTTTACACAGGGAAAGTAAAGGATTTAAAGAAACAGGGTAAGGCGCTCAGTCCTATGCTAAGTTGTAAGGAAGGAACTAAGACTATTCCCTAAATGCATCGACCGCTGCGGAAGATTTCAGGCCTTTAAATTTTACCCTGAGCTAGCTGGCCATTTTTTTTTTTTTTTTTTTTTTAAGGCTTTCGGGATCTTGCCCATTTTAGCCTACATTAGGGAAACCAGAGGACTAAACAAGGATTTATACGTTTCACGCTTTGGGGCCGATCAAAGCGACTTCACACAACACATAGGTAGGCCACGGAAGGTTGGTACTTGGTAGCACATAAGGATGACATAATACGGGTTACAATTACAACGGTAGTTTACTTGCAGCTACAAAACGGACTAAAATGTCATAAACTCCCTTATCGTTGGTACTTAGAATTGTTGGTACATCGAGAGGGTGTGTCAACCCCAGCTTGAGTAGGCCTTCCATCATGATATTCGTGTAATTTGTATTCTGCGGACAGGCGAGAACTAAATGATTCAAATCTGCTACCTCATAATTACAAAACGTGCACTGTGCCGAGGGAATCAAATTTATTCTGTGCAAATGTGCTGGAAATCTACCGTGCGCTGTTTTTAGCCTGACTATGCTTGATTGATAAAATCTATTGGATTTGTAATTATAGTAACACGGATTGATTGTTATTGAGGGCATTATACGGGTAGGTATACTGCGTGGGTCTTCTAAGGCATCGCTCTCTCCACTCGGCTTCCCATTGCGTTCGAAGAATTTGCTGCTTCATGAATGCCGTTTCATCCTGTTTGGACTGCGGGATGTTTAAAATGATTCCCGACTCCACAGCTCCTTTCGCCAATTTGTCCACTGTTTCGTTGTGGCTTATCCCAATGTGAGCTTTAATCCAATAAAAATAAATTTCAATACCTTCTTTACGGAGGCGGGCCACATTCGTGAGTATATCTAGGATATACGGGTTGGTACTGTAAAAATTAGTTTTGTTGTCCAAAGCTTTTAGTACACTAAGGGAGTCGCTCATCACAACAAGCTTTTTCGTGACTACCACATGAATTTCTCTTAACGCATAGGCAATGGCTGTTGCCTCCGCCGTGAAAATAGATGCGTTCCCATTCAACTTAAATACGTTCTGTTGTCCTGAGGGTTGTATAAGGTAAGCACAACCGCAGCCATTCTCACCCTTTGAACCGTCCGTGTAAATAAAGAGAGCGTGTTGGTGTGTTCTAATAATTGACTGGTGTAGAAGATTATCCAAAGACGAAATACCTTGATATGGTGGGAAGGTGACTTGAATCTCCGAAATATAGTCGGTGTAATTAATGTCTTTACTGATAGCGCTTTCACGGAGGATAGCGATGTCAGACAGATTTCTAGATGCTGTTGCAAAAGGGGGAGCATTTTTTAACCGCCAATACAGGTTTACCAAATCTTGCACAGCCAACTCCGATAATTTTGGTAAAATCTTAGAATTCTGAGATTTGCACTTCAACACGAATTTAGAAGCCAGGAAGTTTCTTCTGATGGACAGTGGAGGTTCCCGTGCTTCCACCTGTACTACGTCTCCTGGAGAAGAGCACATTGCCCCCATGCAAAGACGTAGTGCCTTATTAGATACCGCGTCCAGACGTTTTAAATTTGAGTTCGAGGCACAGCCATACAAGATACATCCATAGTCAAGCAGACTTCTAACATACGTTTTGTAGATCTTTAAGTTAGAGTGCATGTCGGCACCCCAATTAACTCTGGAAATCATCCTAATCAGATTAATGCCCCTTTCACATCTACCTATCAACTTCTCTATATGCGGTCTCCACCTTAATTTAGAATCGAGAATCATACCAAGGTAAGAGATTTCTGAAGTTATTTTAAGTTCAACCCCCATCCATCTTAGCGAGCCTGTGGGCAAATCTCGATGCCGTGAAAAAAATATCGTTTGGAGCTTATCCACCGATAGATCGAAACCATTATCAAACAGCCACCTTTTTATGATCTTGAATTTAGCTTTTAATTGCTGCAATACGAGTTTTGTTGATTTATCTGTGGTATAAATGCAAAGATCGTCCGCATATTGGCATGCGTTGATATTAGGACTCCACATTCTGTAGAGATCCACACAATACATATTGAACAAAAGGGGACTAAGAGTAGATCCCTGAGGGATCCCGATCGATGTCATTCTGGGACCAATTAAAGAGTTCTTATTACTTCTTACGAATATTACTCGATTCCTAAAGAGGTCACAAATATTCCTCGCAACCTGATCTGGGACACCCATTTTGGCCATTTTGCTTTCAAGGAGGTCTAAGTTAACCTGATTGTAGGCATCTTTAATATCCATAAATATTGCGCCCAGGTAATCGTTTTTACTAAAACATATTTGAATGTCTGTTACCAGTTCAGCGAGTGCGTCAACCGTTCCTCTGCCAAAGCGAAACCCGTACAATTTATCTGGCAGAATCTGGCTTTGTTCCAGCCACCATTCCATCCGATTTTTAATCATTCTTTCGTACGTTTTGGTAATGCACGACAAAAGCGAGATCGGTCTGTATGAAGACACACGACCTGCCTCTTTATTTGCTTTAAGGATAGGCACGACAACGATTTTCTTCAATTCTTCCACCATATCCCCCTTAGTCCAAATATAATTAAAACACTCCAGTAGCAATTGTTTCCCCGTTATGGGTAAGAGATGCAGCATCGAATACGTGATATCGTCCTCTCCAGGCGCTGTGTTGTTAGATTTTTTCATTGCCTGTAGTAGTTCGGTTTTTGAAAAAGGCCGAGATAGTAAATGGTTGCACCGATCAAATTGATAGGGTCTTTGTTCTGTTGACACATATGCTGGAGTAAGATTTTCTAAAAAATCGGCAATCCAAGATTGCTCCCCGATAGCCTTACCGCGCCATGGACCTTTGAATCTTCTAATATGGTTCCAGAATTCCGAGATTGGTAAATCTCTGGTGATGTTCTGGCAAAAATCTTTCCACTTTCTACGTTTCTTGTATTTAAGGAATCGCTTTGAGTATGCAAGTTCTTTTTTACAGAGGATAAAATTTTCCATTGATCTAGTCAATTTATATTTTTTCAACGCCTCTCGTCGGCGTTTGATCACTGCCGTACATTCTGCGTCCCACCAAATTGGAGATGTTCTTTTCTTCCTGCTGTTGGTATGCTTGTTTTTAAAGTTTGCAATAGCACTTTCTTGTATACTTTTGACTATATAATCGACTCTCTTCGAATTCGCTGAGAAAAAGGGGATTCTGGAAAATCGCTCCACTAGATCCGCATGGAAATCGGCGAGGCCTTCCGGTGTTATCCTCCATTTTCTTATAGGCGACTCCTCGATTGACTCCTTTACATGACCCTGCAGTTCCATGTGAATAGGGAAGTGATCAGACCCGTATGTGTCATCTAAAACTTGCCATTCGATTATGTTTGCTACTTGTGGACTTGTCAGCGTAACATCTACTGCTGAAGCACACTCCTGTGGCCTAGATAGTCTAGTAGGTGTTCCGTTGTTCAAAAATATTGCATGTGCCTCATTAATAAATTCTAACAGGATTTTGCCAGCATTGTCTGTTTTTGATGAGCCTAACGCCATGTGATGTGCATTCAGATCCCCCCCGATAATATACGGAGATGCGATTTGTGCGGCATATTTGAGTTAAATCAGCGCCAACCTAATCCTTCCGTTATAACTTTCTTACAGAAATAACTGACAAAACGATTCATTTCGAAATCCGAGTATTTTGTGTGTGTAAAATAAAGAAAGAAAGTAGACTGCAATGCTGGGTTAATTCTTAATTATAACAGAAAACAGAAATAAGTACATATTTAGTTCTCAATTACATTAATTTAATGAGCTTGACACACACGCACAAGAATGAATTATCGTACAATTTATTACGAATTTGATCAAGTCTGATTTTTTACTTTCATGCGATGTACCTACCTACTTACTCGAATATTTTACGTACCTGGATTGTTTTAATTTCTATCGCCGTATGAAGATCAGAAGGGAGACGTTCTCGCGCTTGAGGACAACTTAACAACGTCGATAAATCCCACGGAACTGACCATTGAGCTAGATGCAACAAGAATAAATCTTTCCAAGACTCTTGTAACAAAAGAAGCTGATCGTGTTTACTGAGAGTCTGGAATGGTGCCAAACATCGAACCCATCGGACGGCCATAAATAAAAGTCTGGCCGCAGTTTCCTACAAAAAAGAACCATTCATAAACGATTAGAAACTTTTGCAACAATAAGAATTTATGAATGTGGAAATAATATTTTTAAAGGGGTGGAACAGTTGAGGGGTTGGTTTTATTACAGCCAACAGCGACAACGATCGAGAAGTCACTTCGCGAATGCCAACAAGTCAATATCGTTTTACCACTCCTCCTTTTAGAGAACAAATTAACTTTTAGGGTGGAAATGATACGCACGTGCTGAACACGTGATTAAAATATCGCAAAGACATATGCATCGCAAAAGTTATTACAGACATCCATTTTAACTCAATTTTAATAACCTAAGAGGTTGTTATTTCCATAACGTAATGCAATTGTTAACTTGTTACGTTGTAGGGCACTAAATTTCCTAAAATTTGGCTGCGCCGAAACGAATTTTTAGATCCAATATTGACCGAAATACACATGACAAAAGTTATCTACATGAAACGAAAAAAAATTGCCGAAAACGAAGATTTTGGGTCTATAACTATTTATTACCTCGTTTATTACATCATTTAGATGTTAATTATTTTAATCACTTATTTTGGAACATCTGTGGCCTCTCAACGTTTCGAGAAACTTTGTGTAACTTTGATCAGGTGTATTTCGGTTAATAAGTGAGTCTAAACATTCATTTCACCATCCAAATTTTTAGAGCTTTGTAATGCACTATACGAATATGATACAAAAAATATTCTTAGTTTTCGAGATATAAGAGAAAAACTGAGGCTTTGTAATGCACTATACGAATATGATACAAAAAATATTCTTAGTTTTCGAGATATAAGAGAAAAACTGAAGAAAGGCCGAAAATTTTAGGGTTTTTCGCCCTCCATCAAGTTAGCACACGGTTCTCGAGCTCGAAAACTTAGGATAGACATCCTGGTGTACCCCCAAACAACCTGTAAAAATTCAATTAACTTTGGAGTACTTTCCAGCTACCCCCATATTTTTCATTGTGTCGACTGGAATCTCATTATTTAAGATTTTTCAATTTGGGAGTTAATCCATCATGGGATATGTATGAGAAAATACCCAAAAACCTAGTCGTTAACTCCGTCCTCCTATGTTTTATAGGTGCGAAGGAAAGAATTACAGAAAAAAACGCAAAATTTGGGGACTTTTAGGTCGTAGGTCCCAAACTAAACATTTTAATATTATTATATATTATAATATAATTTACCTATGTAGAAAAATTTTATATTCAAAGCTATAGTGGAGTAAAACAATTAATTTATCTATTTTGTTCCCTTATGAAAATTGTTCAATAAAATCGGTCTCCACACCAAGTAAAGTAAAGTATATTGTCGAGAGAAAGGAATTCGTTTCTAAACATCTTATAATTTTATATTCCTTTTGCGATAATCCGTGCGAGCATAATATATTGGAATTTTGTGTTAATTTTTAATTAATTAATTAATTCATATTTTTTGATAATTGGCGCTAATTACTGTTGTCCTATAATGCTACAACTATATTTCTCACTTAACTTTCACCATTGAACTATTTAAAAAAAAGGTTTTGTGTTATTGTTGCTAATTAGATTAATGTGTTAATCTAGCTATAGTGTCAACATAGAAACCGAGAAAAAAAATGCTGATTACTTCATTCACTGCATTTTTTACTCAAAACAATTTAATAAACTATATATTTTTTAAACTTAGTTACTAACCGTTGATTTTATCGAAAAAGTAGTTAATTTATAGTACACATAAAGAGCTTTCAATTATAAAAAAAGAATAATGACAGCAGATCAATAGTTTCAGAGATAGGTATAGTATAGTATAATATAGTAAAAAGGAAAAGGAAAAAGGAAAAGGAAAACTGGTACCCCCAAATTATATCAATTCCTTAAATTTAGGCAGTTGGCCTCTATTCATTGGAGAATTCTTTACTTATTACAGTGGAAAATAACTTTGATGGGTAAACTCTGGTGACTTTGAAAATCGTAACCACGACGTACTTGGAAGCTTGATCAGTTGGACCACAAACGGTCAGTGTACTGTGCTCCAAATGGGTCAATGGTACGCAATGAGCCACCATGGAGGCGCCACCGTGTAACAAGCCTATTGAAAATGGGCCAAATCCAATGACCCCGCAGGGTCACACCGATGTGCTCTGCTGCTTTTTTAAAGGGGCTTATTACTTATACAAATATTCTCTATCACACACTGGTCAGGCCCAGGAAATGGTCAAAAAAAAATTCATAAGACGTATGCAGTACCGACTTACATCAACATATCCCCTCTTTGACCACTATTCGGATCTTTTGCAAACATTTTGTATGAAAAGCTTGAGTGACCGCAGAAGAAATCATTTTAATTTTCTTTTATAAACTTTTAAATAATCAAGTGAGTTCATCACATTTGCTCTCACTAATTAATTTCAATGTTCCGGACCACAGAACTAGATGTAAATTCATATTATTTAAGATACCTCAATCTAAATCCATTTTATTAAATCACACAGCACCGATTACACGCATGATGACAACGTTTAATAGCTTTCATTCTTTGAAAATTTTCGATGTAACATTATCGCATTTTAAGAAACAGTTAATGATTAATAATAATAATAATAATAATAATAATTACTTGCACTACAAAGACAGGTCCACCCAATAAAGTTACACGTCCTAGCACAGTTAAAAAACACAAAACTCCTTCTTCACATAAACACACCACGTTATCACAACCCACTCGTATTCAACCCAAACGCAAAGCCAAAGAAACACTTACACAATAAACTCTATTTAATAAAATTACAGGAATTATTATAATGATATTTTTGTTTTGTTTTCTTCTTTCCTGATAGCGTTGACTATTGTGGCCATTAATAGCTATGTTGTTAAGTATGAATTACATACTATCCCTAGATTTCCAATGTGAGTGTGTGAATATTTATTTTATTTTTATTTTTTATTTTTCTTTAGAACCCTACATAACTTCACCAGACACAGACACAGACACTGATCGTTACTTGATTTTAATCCGTGCGATTAGTTAACCAGGCTAGACCTGAGTTCTCACAAGAAACACCGACCATAATAATAATTGACTTTATTCCCATACAAAATGATATACATGAGCATTCACTACATGAGAGTAAAACAAAAAAAAATTTCTTTTTAAGATATCTACAGGAAAAAACAAGAGGAGAAAAGAGAAGAAAGAAAGTGAATTTTTTAACATCAAAAAGAAATTTAATAGGGAAAGGGATTCTCTATGCACTAAGCATACAGCCCTGAGTTAAAGTGTAGCTTTAGTTTTTTTTTCATCATTTTTGTTCTATTTTCAGCAAACGTGACTTAGTTATGCAAGAATAATTAATATACTGTTCAGAAGTGTCGTTTGAGTCATCATCCATTTTTGAATATTTTTGAATAGATTTTTTGTTAATCTTACATTTTTAAAATTACTCGGTAAAACATTATACAATTTTGGTCCAAGATATAACGGCGATCGTTGAAATAGGGTTTTATGTATTTTTGGCAATTTTTTATATTGCTTGGTCATGCTTCTGGTTGTTACGAGCTGATTTATTCTTTGTGATCCATGACAGTTGCTAATATTAAAAAATTGCCAAAGAACCTTAAACAGATACAAGTACTTTAATGGCATAATTTTCTGGTGTATAAAAAGTGGAAGAGATGGTGTCATTCTACTTTTTTGACATATTGATCATATCGCCATTTTTTGTAGTTTTTCTATAGGAGAAAGGATACTATGGGCAGCCGCTCCCCAACAACATACACCGTAACTAATATGGGAATGCATATTGTTTGATGATTATTTAGTTAGTTTTTTTTGTTTTTTCGTTACCTTATACTCATCAATTATTTTTATTCATAATTCATATCACGAAATTTAAGAGTTATTTTAGTCCTCAAAACTGTCATTGGATACAATGTATCTGTTGTTTTGAGTATTTCAATAAATAAATAAATAAAAGTTTTGCCATAGCATGCGCCAAGACACTGTTAAAAGTATCTTTGAAGACTCGAGGATGACAAAAGTCATGGAACTATTTGAAAATTATTTAAACTTTCTGAGGACCAAGAATAAACCCCTATCATCGTTCTGGATGACATTCACAGATAGATATTAGTAGAACTTTTTCTTGGATTGATTATAAGTAACAGAGAAAGAAACTGGCCGCTTTATATGAGTTGCATGCAACAAATGATCCCCTGGTGTTTTGCAGTGGACAAAATTAACTATGCGCGATAATTATCTCTTAACTTTGCATTTCTAACTTTCTGAGATTTAACTTCAAAATTAAAATTTCAAGCATAAAATTGCAAACTTAATAAGAAAATTCGATATTGTGAACGTTATCCATTTGATCTCAAAGTCCCACTACGAAAAACATGGAAAAATAGTTTTCGCGCGGTATCTAATTGGCCATGAATTATTTTTCAAAAACATTCGGTTGTTAAAGCTGAATTCAATCCAATTTAGTGGCCGCTGTATTTGAGCTATAGCTTTGAAGATCCCCCATGCTTAACACCGGAAAAAGCTCTCACGGGATTATAATTAACGATTAGCTTACCTGTAATATTTCCCAAGTGGGAGTTAACGGTAGTGGTAACGGTGAACTAGGTGGCGGTATTGGAAATCCGGCGGCGGATATTCCCAAATTAGAAGCCGATCCATTCGAAAGATCAAACTGTAGTTTAGTGTTCCAGACAATTTCCTAAAAAGTAAACGGATTCTCGTCACCCCTTGTTTCTGCACCGAGTAACATTAAACTTAATACATACACTGAATTTTACCTGACATTTTTCGGCCGACATTAGAATTTGAAGTAAGCCAGGTGGCGGCGGTAAGGGTGGCGGATGAAACATTGGCGGTGGTAGTGAATCGACATGCGATCCCGAACTTGTTACCGACGGGCTCGCAAGCGACAGAGTTTTAGGTGGTTGCGGTGGTCCAAACATTCCTGGAAAGTTGAGAGACGCCGACGTCGGGTTGAGCTTTACAGAAGACAAATGCGGAAGTCCGGTTGACGATGTAATTTGCGAATGGGAGTTTTGTTGTAATTTCGGTTTGCGAGGGCCGCGTTCGTGTTGAACAGCTGTAAAAATACGCAAAACTGCGTAATTGTGCATTTTTAGAGACTGGATTTTTAAATTTCGCATTCAAAGAAGCTGATGTTAAAAGAAAGTACCGAAATTAATACGGCAACACGAATGCTTACATCCATAAAGTAAGAAAGCTTTAGTTAATAAAGGAGCAAATCCCTACTTTAGCTCTTTTAAAAATGCAGCGGGGACTAAAAAGTGTTGTTTAACTTCCAGTAATAAAATGATACGGGTTCTAAAAAGATCTTTAAAATCTTAATCACTTTTCGCGCTTGCCGCACTGATTCAAACGGGATTGAATTCCCCTGCAATTTAATCTATTGATTCGGCATTTTAAAGGGAGCAAAAGATCAGCGGTTCCGAATAAATAGGCCATCAGAATGGTAGTGTGGGAACCTGGCCATTGTATGGACAAATGACGCGCTCACGGCGTTCAGTGGAATTAACGTTATATGAGGGTGCAATGAAATACAGTTACATTTGTTAATAAATAATTATATTGACAGATGAAACAGATAGCTTTATTTTGGTATTATTCTTGTACCGCCATGCATCGGTAACCAATTTTATAACGTACAGCAAGCAACCTCCTGCAACCATTCTATATACATATTTGAAAATTCATAAGAAAATTATCCATGAGCTTTTTTGACATTCAAATTGTTTGTTTGCGAAATTTCTCAATGGTGCGTTATCCTAATCTTGTTACTGTATACACATAAGGAAAGGAAAAGGAGCTTTTTAAACTTGTGACCTGCGACCTGCGCGTGTGTGTAGAGCTTTGACCCTCGCTCGACTGCCCTGACAGAATGACATGACACTATCGGATGATGGGATTACCGCAAGCTTAACTGTGCCCTACACCGACATGTCTCGTTCACATACTACATTTACTTGCATTTGTATATTGAAACTGTTGAATTTCGCATTATCGGATGTAGATGGAAATTCTAATGGAAACGATTTTATCCCCTACAATCTCGTTAGCTCTATGATATAATTTCAAGCAATAAAAAATGAGGATAATTTTATGACCAACGTGATGTCTACTGGAAATATTTCTCGCTGAAAATTGTCTTATGCGAGATCAGACTTTCGTTACATTCTGTTAAATGTGATAGTTAATTTTCATGGAAACAACTGCATTCACAATGATCCCCATGGAAGGTCGGCAGAACACACTATTATTGCTATTTTCAGCAATTGCGGAAACTGTAAAGCATTCCTTTCAACACCATAACCGCTGTAGAGTGTAACCGTTGAGTGAAGGATCTAGATCCTTCACTCAACGGTGTAACTATGTAAAACTAATTGGGTCGGCAGTGTTCCGTATTGGTGATGCTCCCCGAAAGGTTCAAATTTGTGCCTTTTTATTAATTTTTCTCAGCAGAAACAACTTTGCGACATGTCTTTTATAACAAAAAAAAAGTTACACATTATCAACAATATCCAAGAAATGGAAGGAACACAAAGATGTGACAAGTAGGACTGGAGCTGAATAGAAGAACAGCAAGTAGAAAAGACAGATAGGGACAAGACGCAGTGCGATAAGATACAAAGAGTAAAGTAAACAGCTGAAGAAGTGCCTGTGAAAAAGAATGAACACAAAAAGAAAGTGGTAGGAACAAAGGAAAACGAATTACGAAAAGATGTATATGGATGGAAGATAAGGTAAGAAAGAGGAAAATGTATGAAAACATAAGTAATAAGAAGAGACCGAGATATAGAAATAGCAATCACAATAAGGGAAGAAAATCTGGTATTCGCGATGAAAAAAGATACAAAGAGTTGACTGGGAGCCGAAATGTCTAAGAGACGGAATTCTATAAGAATAATGGCAAGGTTTGGATGTGAAAATGAGGATACCGGAACAGATGGAAAGAAGAAGAATAAAGAAAATGCAAATTATGTGAAAGAGAAGAATATCGATCGTCTGATATGGCAATGTAGGAAGGAAGAAAGGCAATTTTAGGCAAAGAAGATTATAGAAAAGGGAAATCAAAGGAAAAAAGAATCTAACAGAGAGAGGGAGAGGACTAACGAGCAAGGAATGACGACATAATGAGCACAGAGCGGAAAAAGTGTAAAACGGGAGGAGTATTTAAGTTTGAAGTTGGAATTTGAATGTATTTTTTTCTGGTGATTAATTGAAGTTCTCCCAAAAGGCGTTACATAAGTAAATAAGAAGCCCCGAAGGGCCAGTAGGACGATTTGTTTAAAAATTATTACTTTTTATTATTATTCTCGACATTTCATACCTCCTATCTTTATACAATTAAATTCAAGTGTCATAAAACTATCAACTATCAAAGTGAATTAATTTTAACTATTAGGCAGTTAGAGTAGTTACAATAATATCTGCTTTTAAAAATATATCTATCTACAGGGTGTCCAATGACGAGCTGAATCGATTATTATATGGAAAAATTTCAATTTGTATAATTATTTTGGAACTGAGAAATTTGTTATAATTATTTGAACACTCTGTACAATTTTTTTGGACAGTTCTTACAGGTCATGCGGATATGTAAGGCGGACAGATCCGCTTTGAGCTACACACACGCGGATTTGTTGTACGCAGATCACGGACAAATGTCAATAGACGAGCAGGCAGCGTTCTGTTACTATTTCAGTTCCGTAGTACTAGCCTCTGGATTGTGTTTTGTAGAGTGCTGTCCTAATTGCTATGGATAATACGAAGAAACTGGCAATAATTGTCCGTAGTCGTCGTCTTGATCGACGGACGACGGCGATATTCCCTGCTCTTCTGCAGAAGGGCTTGGAACCGTTACCCTTATACATTTGTTACACCTTTTTAGAGACTCCCTGGCTTTAGGGTATATCCCCGAAATCTAGCGAAAGGTTGTGCCAAATATGACATGGCGAACCATCATCCTATTATCGTTTCTTCTAAAAAACGGTGGAGAAGTTGGTGGATGCAGACATAAGGAACAGGTACTTAGCCTGGTGCTAGACGGGCTCTTCCGCACTCTGAACGAGGATGGAGCGTATACACAAGGATACGTGGACGATCTCGCGATCGTCATAACTGGAAAGTTTCCAAATACCGTGAAAGAGCTCATTCAGGGGGCTCTTGAACAGGGGGTGCAGTAGCCATGGCCTCTCCGTTAACCCAGAAAAAACCGAAATTGTTCCATTTATGAATAGAAGGAGAGAGGACCATCGCGGACGCCAACTGGGTCTTCCCAGGTGAGTGAAATATTTGGCAGTCATCACAGACTGCATGTTTCTGGCCATGCTTCTGGCTGTACATGGGTCTTGAACTCTCGACTATGTATAGGCAGTGACAGTCAGGCGGCGCTGAGCGCCCGGTCGGCAGATAGATTCCGATCGACTATGACGCTTGATTGCAGGCTCTAGATAAATTACACGAGTCTAATAGGGTAAGCTTGATCGACTATTATTTGGAACCGAGGAGGGTGAAGCAAGTTAGGAATAGGAAAAGACGTATCTTCAACTTAAAAATTTGATAGCAAAAATTTTTAAACTGGAGTGGAAAAATGCACAAAAATCATTTTGGGATTAAAAATCTGAATTTAAATTTAAAATTTGAAGTTTCACAGTTTTTTGTAGCTTTAAATTTGCCAAAAAAATTTGTTCACGAAGACTGTACTACAAAAATAATTTCAAACTAAGATCTTGAAACTGGATGGAAGACAATAGTGGCTTTTATTTGCAATTTAACACCATTATTTTAACAATTCGGAGCATCAAGTCTGTATAAGCAGGATTTACGCGTGCTCTTCATTTGCCATTTCCCAAGAGAATTTTTAGCAGCAAATGGTGGTCATAAAAAATAATTCTTCCCTTCTTTCTCATTTTATTTTGCAATCACGTATCTTGAATTGGAGAGTATTCGTCTGATCGCAAATGTACCTAATAGGGTTTTCTATTCAGTTGTGTCTTCGAATTAGTCAGTTGCTGCTAATTTTCCATTATCACTTTGGATAGTTCTCGCCACACTTCCCGCTTATGTCACAGCATTACCTACATGGGAAAGGTTTTTCTGTCTTCTAAGTAAAAGAAAACATGGAGTACCTATGTATGCAGCTGTAATAAAATTTCTTTCAGGAAAGGATTGTATACGTATGTACAGTGTATTCTGAAACAGAAACCTTTCGCACCAATCGCACTAATTAATTAATTGTAGAAATGTAAATATCTGTACAATGATAGATCAAACCGTAACGTAACACCCTGGAGAGTAAGTTCCGAACTAATTGTGATATTAGAAAAGAAATCAATTAATTGCTTATTTTCTAACGTTTCTGCCTACCCATACTCTGATTTCAATAGTTTAGGTGAAGCTCACAAGGAACTTATTACATTCCTTCAAAATTATAGTGCTTTCTGTAAAATGTTAGATGTATTTTCATGAAACTGTAATAAATGTGGAAGTATCTATTACATGTAGTAAAAAGTGTCGACAAAGTGGATAACCGAAGTTTTTAATGAAACGTTACTGCTCATTGTGATTTGATGACAGGCAGTTTTAAAACACCCTGTGGGAACAATTTCGATATGTAACACGTGCCCCAATAATTCATAGAAACATTCTATAAAAATCATCTGGCAACTATCTCCGACAATAAATTAGATTTACAATGTATCTACCTATGTGTCGTGTGGGTGATGTTCGGGGATTGCAGCCTCCGGCCAAGGGCAATACAACCCTGTGAACGTACAGCTGTGAGCATCAGCCCCGCTCATTAATGATGATGTGCTACCGTCGGCCTCAAGACTACTTCACTTCTCGCTACATCCCAACCAGACAAGGGTTGTTCGTCAAAAAGGATAATTTACCATATAAATCATTTGAACGTTTTTTCTACTTTTTATCACATAAGTAATTATAAACATTTGATTGCATGGATCATGTAACACAATTTAAAAATCAGAACATAGTCTAACTTATAGGCCGAGATTTAATAAGAGTGGTATTATATAATCGGTGTTACAAAATCCGCATTAA